GAAGAGAAGAGAAGAGAAGAGAAGAGAAGAGAAGAGAAGAGAAGAGAGCACAAACTTTGAAAACGTTACACCAACGAAACTTCTTCACTTTTTGAAAAAATCTGGAGGGAGGAGGGATTTCTAATTCTTGAGAGTTCACACTGAATCAAGGCTCTGCCCCATTACAATTACCCATAATAGCAGAGGAGGCCTTTCACCAGAACTTCAATGGAGCTCATCATACCTACTATGAAGGCTGCAGGTAAACTCCATTTGCAGGTAATTTCTAGACACCGGAGTAGCTGAGAGTGAGCTATATAGAGCTGGGTTTCTATGGTGACAGGATTGCAAAAGAGATCCTTCTCTCCCCCCTGTTCCTCTCCCCCCCCTCACAGCACACACACACACACGCACACACACACGCCTTGTCCCCGGTTCCTCCATCTGCTCTTATCTATTGACTCGGCAGTGTTTGCTCATATCTTTCTCACTCTCCACCTAAAGGACACCATGCATGCTCGAACAAATCTAGTGATGGCTATGCCAGGAATTGCCAAGGAGTTGCACCCAGGTTTCTCGTGGTCTGAATCAGACTGAAATCATGAAGGAAAGATAAATCGCACACAAGGGAGAAGTTGCAAAACGGGTATAAGGAGGGCACAGAATAGGACAACAGACTTTCAGAAGGAGGGGAGGTATTCTCTCACATTCAGAGATGAGGGCACAGAATAGGACAACAGACATTTTCCCTTCTGTATGTCTTCCCTGGACACTAATCTCACAATCGATACAAAAGCTACAAGTGGCACGAAGAGCCATGGAAAGATACATGCTCGGCATTACAAGATAAGACAGAAAGACCTGGGTGTGGATCAGAGAACAAACGAAAGTATACAATATTCTCAAGAGTGCAAAAGAACTGAAATGGAAATGGGCTGGTCACATAGCAAGAAGAACTGATGGCAGATGGGCCAAGGCAGTCATAGAATGGATCCCACTTGATAAAATTGTCCACGAAAGTGACCTAAAACAAGATGGACCAAAGATCAAAAGCAAGATATCAGCAGGCCCAATTGGCAAAAGGAAGCTCGGGACGATATTGCTTGGAAACAAGCGGAAGAGGCCTTCATTCTGTAGTAGAGAGACAATGGCTAGATGATGATGATGATGATGATGATTAGTTTCAGATAACATAACAGTTGGAAGGGACCTTTAAGGTCTTCTAGTCCAACCCCTTGCTCAAGCAGTAGAACCTATACCGTTGCAGACAAATGGATGTCCAATCTCTTCTTACAAACCTCCAATGATGGAGGCACCCACAACTTCTGGAGGCAAGTGGTTACACTGGTTACACTGGTTTCACTGGTGATAGGTGCACCATTGGAAAGTCTGATGGACCAGGTTGGGGACAGATTGTCCTGGAGAAAATCCATCTGTGCTAAAAGGTGACACAAACTTAATGGCATATAATCAGTTGATCAATGTATAAGCTGTGCTCTATTTTTACACAGTCTTGGCATCCCTCAAAGGGCGTAAACACCCCAAACTGATACAGGAAGTCCTCAACTTACAACCATTTAGTGAGTTTGAAGTTATGATGCTAAAAAGTATGACTTACAACCAATCCTCGCACTTACAACTGTCATGGCATCTCTGGGGACATGTGATCAAAATTCAGGTGCTTGGCAGCCAGCATGTATTTACAATGTTTGCAGCATCCTGGGGTTGTGATCACCATATGAACCATGGCGGTGCAGTGGTTGGAATGCAGTATTGCAGGCTAACTCTGCCCACTGTTAAGAGTTCGATCCTGATTCAGCCTTCCATCTTCCAAGGTCATTAAAATGAAGACCCAGATTGTTGGGGCAATATGGTGACTCTGCAAACCACTTAGAGAGGGCTGTAAAGCACTGTGAAATGGTATATGTCTAAGTGTTATTGCTATGGCTATTGGTGTCCTTCCCAGCCAGCTTCTGATAAGCAAAGTCTACAAGGGAAGGCAGATTTACTTAACAACTAAATGATTTGCTTAACAACAGAAGTGATTGGCTTAACAACTATGGAAAAATGGTCATAAAACTGGGCACAACTCACTTAACAACCACCTTGCTTAACAACATAAATTCTAATCCCAATTGTGATCTTAAATCAAGGAGCACCTGTAGTCCATGTTTTGTTTCATTGAATGAAAAAGATGTAGAAACTCCAAGTGCTTTGGTGTGAATTCCCTTTCAAAGCCAACTCAGTGGTTGAATGGGATTACAAGACACTCGAGTGATAAGAACAGGAGAAATTTAAAAATCCTGGTGGAGTAAGCCAATAACCCATTAAGCCTAGCCCTTCTTGGCTGCACAGTGGTCAACCACATGCATTCAAAGATCTCATCAAGATGACCAAAAAGGGAAGAGCCTTTTTTCTGCAATTGTTCACCTAGCTATGATTCCACAGATGGCCAACAGCCATCAAGATTAGTCATCACTGACAGAGCCTCAGTCTTCTCCTGAATTTGTCCCATCCTCTTTAAAAAAAAAAACAACTCAGTGGATGGTCTTCATTATATCCGATGGCAGTAAATTCAACAGATTAATTCTCCCATTGTGTAAGGAACCGTTCCAGTCAATCGGTGTCCCTTCTCTCCAGCATACAGCTTTAATAACGTATAATCATAAACCCTTCATTTGTAGCAATGGGTGGTTGATTTGTCGGTGTCTGAATCAATTCTTGTTGCCGTTTTATTAAAAGGGCAAAGAAAGAAGACTTTCGAGCACCATGGTTCACATTTTTGAATTGATTTGGTATAAAACATCAACTGCAATGCCCTTCCTCCCTTTTTTTCAGTTTTTTAAATTGCCATGTTTATCCGTTTGGAGGTTGGGTTGATCCTTTAAATGCTGTTGCTTGGCATCTACATTTTCTCACATTCAGCATAATTTACCTGAGGATTTTTCTCATGTTTGGCATAATTTCTCTGAGCATGTTTATTTTTAAATAATGGCCAAAGAGGGAGAAAGATTTTACCCCTGTTTCAGGTTTGCAAAAGTTTTTTTTTTTTAAAGTAAAACTGCAGATGATTAAGATTAGAGGAATAATCACCTCCACCATCACTTTTTCAATAAAGGACTATGAATGCTCAGTAGCTATAGGACCTTGAAGATTTATTGGGAAAGGAAGGGAATTTAAAAAAAATATCCAGTAGGAAAGGATTAAACTACATTAAAAACATCTGTTAGGCTTCAGTAATTTGGAGTAGGCAAGGAAACCATGATCAAAATGCAGGTGTTTGGCAATTGGCTCATATTTATGATGGTTGCAGTGTCCTGTGAGCATGTGATTGCCTTCTGACAACCAAAGTCAATGGGGAAGCCAGATTTACTTAACAATCAGTAATTTAACAATTGCAGTGATTCACTTAACAACTCTGGCAAGAAAGGTCGTAAAATGGGGCAAAACTCACTTAACAAATGGCTCACTTAGCAATAGAAATGTTGGGCTCAATTATGTTCATAAGTCCAGGACTATCTGTGGCGTCTTTAGCCTGGAGGACGACTCTTGAAATGCCTCTGCTAGCCCCAAAGACTTCGGTCTCAAAAAATCGTCTATACCTTATCTTTAAAAAATGGTATTTAAAAAAAAAAAGAGAGAAAGGAAAAAGTGGAGCTTCTGAATAAATATATGTGTTTCCCTGAAAATAAGACCCGGTCTTATATATTTTTTGCCACCAAAAATGGCACCGGGTCTTATTTTCAGGGGATGTCTTCCACTGACTTACCTCACGGCGACAGCACTGACAGCCCTGCCCAGCAGGAGCCTGTGTGGCCGCTGCCAGCCCACTTCGGCAGCTGCTTGTTGCCGCATGTGCAGTGCTCCTCGGCCTCCATTTTGCTGTCAGAGGCCCTTCAAGAAAGACCCCTGAAGCCGATAAACAGAGCTCTGGATCAATCCAGAGGCGACATGCATGTTAATCTGGACCTCGTTTCTCAGCTGCAGAGGCCTTTCCTGAAGGCCTCTAGCAGCAAAACAGAGACTGGGGGCAACGGGTGCAAGTGGTGGCAAGCAGCCACAGAAGTGGGCCAGTAAGGCAAGGTGGATGTCAGCGTGTGTGAGGCCTGGCTGCAACTGTCCAAAGATAAGTAGTAGGGCAGCTCCATCCCCAAACCTAGCTTAATTTTTACCTGTACGTCTCCCCCCACCTGTGCACCCCAGAGTGGGTGGATCTTAACTAGGGCTTATTTTGGGGGTAAACCTTATATTGGGTGCATGTGTAAGAATCAAGCTATTTTCAGGATAGGTCTTATTTTCAGGGAAATACAGTAATTCCTTATAATTTGATGCATATGTGTATGGATATATCTCTGCGTCTCTTTCTTTCCATAAATTCAGGAACAGAGAAAGCAAAAATGGAAGAACAGTTTATCATTGCTTGCAGGTAGTCCTCGGTTTATGACCGTAATTGAGCCCAGAATTACAGCCATTAAGTCATTGAGCAGGCCTCACATGATTGACCTGATTTTATCCGATTTTTTTGGCAGCACTTGTTAAGCGAAGGTCATGCTTATAATGTAAACACAAGAGTGGGGGTTTTTTTTTGCCTGAAACTGGAAGTTAATGCCAGATTCTGGAAAAATAATATCATAAACCATGGTCATGTGATCATGGGATGCTGAAAACCACTATAAACATGGCCCAGTTGACCAATATCCAAAATGCAATCACTTGATTTGGAGCGGGGGCAGACATTAAAATTTTGAATCTGGTTCCCAAGTACCTTTTAGCTGTGTCATAACTTTGATTGGTTGCTAAGCAACCTGTTGTTAAATGAGAAC